AATGCCACGTAGAATTAAGGCAGTTCTGAAGGCGAAAGGGGGTCAAACACCGTATTAGTATGGTGCTCCTAATAATCCTTTAGGTGAGTGTATATGTATTCAGTTAGTGTAAACATGCATGGTGCTATAACAGCGCATGTGAGGCTGAGACTGAAGCTTTACCCTTTGTTTCCGCTGAGAGATGTGCCGCGTGACTCATTTCTCCGCGCGTACAAGTTATCTTAGGTCGGCGTTCACGGTTTGACTTCTGAGATTCAGATCAAGTTCTAGGTAATTTTTTTTTCGAACTGGTTGGTTCGACTTTTAAGAAATTTGAGTTCTCATGAGTTCGAGAACTGAGGTACCACTGTATACACATAGAGGTGAGAGTGAAGCTCGGGCTCTTAGCTCAGAGTCAGGCCGTTTACCCAGTGTCCTTCAGGCAGTTATGTTCTTAACTCTAGTATTTAATATTTTTCACTCAATACTCAAGTCATTTTCAAAGAGAGATGGTCTAGTAAATGCTGCCACTTTTCAGGACCAAGAGAAAATGCTTTTGGTTTATGTTGCTTTCCAAAAATTCTGTTTACAAAAAAAAACAGGCTGCAAGCCTAAGTTTGTGAAATCAGCAGTTTTTCATTCAATGAAAATATTTGCTTCACTGTAGTGACCTTTCACTCAATTATTGACATAAGGATTCATATAGCATATTAGTATATAATAGACTTTAACTTTTATCTGTTATTCTTGGCTGTCTGTCTTTCATTGGTAACTACAGTTGTGAAAATTCTAAGATTGCATCTATCTTTACCTGCTTGCAGCCCAGGAGGGTGAGAAGGTTGGAATGTTACTTGAGAATAGATGACATCTTCACCTTGCGGAACTGTAAGAACAAATGTGGCAGAAAGCTCATGATGAACAAACATACAGAAGCACATTCACAGGAAATGTCTAATGTTAAATCCCTACGTCTCTCAGAGCAGCAATTTTAGGAGAAATTTGCATCCTTGTCTTGTGCCACATGCTTGCCAGGATTGTCTCATTGTGACTCTGTGCTAAATAAGCGATTATTTCAAATGGAGAACAAATTTTCTGGCATATTAACACATATCACTTCAAAGGGAAATATTACAAACAAGATTTATTAGATATACCACGTTTGACCAAACTTTATCTAAACTGTGTATGCTTATGCAAATCAAATACCCTTCTCTCGAGCGGTGGTTAGTACGTGGAGTCAGTTTGCATAGTGAAAGGCACTTTCACTTTTATCTTTCATTCTTTATATCAGTCTAGCATTGGTGAAAACAGTTGTAAAAATTCTAAAATTAAAGTTTCACTTGACTCTTACCTGATTGCCCATCTTGGGAGGCACTGTGGAAGGGAAGAGGGTCGGGGAATTTCACCTGGGAATAGACGACGTCCCCACCCTGTGGTACTGGCAAACATGCGGGACAGAATTAGAGTTTTCTGTCAGCCTTTTGTTATGCAGTGCAGTTGAGGTTAAAATCCACATTTCTTTATTTCTCTGTTAATATGGATGAATTTTGATTCAAAACTCTTAAATTCAAGAGTTTTCTTTGTCATATGTACACAGGGTATACAGTGAAATTAAGCTCTCTTAGCAGAATGTACTATGCAATTAAAAATTACAAAAAAAAAACTGACAAAAATTAAATTCAAGAATTTTAAACAAACCTATAAAAAACTTAAAAGCTACAAGACTTCTTGATAACATTTCCTACAATTGAGGTTAATACTGCAGGCACCTGCAATTCACCACGGGTGAGTTCTGTTCTCAACTAAAGTAAAATGACCTGTTTGAAATATGAGTACTTATAGAAGGAGCCAATAATATTGTCTGGGCCGTTTTAAGATTTCTTGTGCAACGACCTAAGAATTAATAATTTACTTTTTTGTTTGTTTCACTGCAAATCCAAAGAAATGCATGCAGTGCTCATAGAAAGTCTTGAGATGCTTGTTTAATTCTGTAATAATGTTGCACGTTTATTTGTTTCATCACAAAAGTCCATTGACAAGCGATGTTTAACGTATCTGCACATATCTTCCACACAGACATTTTTTCTATTGCCATAATTTTTTGAGTGACTCCTTCAGTTCTGTTCTTGCCATTTTGCTGGTAATTGCAACTGTAGTCATTGGCTCTCAAAGGGATACGAAACACAAATGTTTGGTGTTTTATGTTACTGCAAAGGTGTTGCTAATTGAAAAGCACCCAATGCGACTGCTTGTCAATGAACTTTTTAATTCAGAACAGCTCTTTTAGAACTATAATTTGGGTTTCAATTTATTACTATTTGAAATTAACGTTTTACTTAAAACTACTGGTTGTTTCTAACGTGATATATATTTGTAAACAAATGAATAAAGTAATGATATTTGTTATAAAACTAATACATTTGTAATATTTTTACTGAATTAAGGAAGTGTCCGAAGACTTTCCGTCAGCATTGTGTGTGGATATAAAAAGATCTTTTAATGTCAAGGTTTCTGGAAGAAATTGTCAGTTATTTGAAGAGAGTGCGTGGGCATCAATATTTTTGTCTTTAGTTAACATGTCAAAAAATATATATGAAACATAAAATAAACTGTAGTGTCAGTTCTATACTAGATATTCACTTAAGCTTAAGACAAACAGAAAGTGAAGGTTCTACAATATAACCAGGTCTGTTTGCTGAATACACCGTGTCAAGCTGAAACCTCCAAAATGTTACATACGTGTGCCTGATTTAGCAGTGGTGTTTGGTAGAAAATGCATGCTGATTGTTAATAGTTACAGTAAGTCAAAAACATCAGACAGAAACTGAGCACAGCTGATATGATCTTATAAATACCAGCACGAAGACTCAACTATTTCCTGTCACAGAACACGAGCAAGTTCATGATCATATATTGGGTTAATTTAAATATATTTTTAAACAATGTTCTAGAGAAGTCAAAACACTCACCATCATCCTGACGTTTCCTCCTGAAATTTACAGCAGAATAAACTACATTAGCTGACATTTAGACTTAATGTTAATCTGACTTGCTGATAAAGAATCAAATAAAAGTAACTAATGGAAAAAAAAAAAAAAAAAGCTTAGGTTCACCAACTATGAAAGCAGAAGTAAAGTAACCACATTTCCATTGCTTGTGGTTAAAACTTCAGTTACACACCCACAGAACCAGATTCAAAATTCAATAACTTTATCGGCCATGTGCTGCAGCTGCATTAGTCACTCACCTTCACTCAGTAACAAAAGCCTGAAACAGAACGTTAGATAATGTTAAATCTAAACAAGACACTGTAAAACAAAACAAGTGCAAATGGATGATACATACTCTGTGGCTGATGAAATGCAGTGACGGATATAAAATGCGTTTATATAAAACGGATATGACTGTTAGGGAAGGTGCGGATGCTGGAAATCATAATGGCTTTGGGGAAGAAGTTGTTCTTTGTGAGGACACTCTCACTGGCACTATGGCAGAAAGTGGCAAGGTTCCTGTTGGGGAAAGCGCCGAAGCTTTGACCCCTGCAATACCTATGTGGAGAAAGCGTACTGGCTTCTCACTCCACACTTTGCACTTCTAGGACTCAGGAATAATAATAATGAGACAGCACACTTCTAATATTTTACTTGCGCAAGGGTGCCCACTCACTTAGATGCAACAGACAATATCTGCGCCTCAGTTCAGTGTCACACAGGGCAGTCCCTTGGCTTCTTTATTTATACAGGAGGGGAGTGGTTACAATGGGGAGTATCCTAAAGCTATACTGCTGTTTGTGCTTCTTGCGAAGGGGTTAAAACACAGGACCTTGCATTCCTCAGAGTGGGCCCCCTCGATGTATCGACAGAGTCTATTTCCACTCCCAGGGTGATTGTTCCTTTTTCACAATCTTACAGAGTTACAGAAGATGTCCTGTTCTAACAGGTCTCTACGTCAAAGTTGATAAACTATTTGCCTACATTCACACAATTAATATGATAAGAAATTTACATTTTCATTCTAACAGTTCCCATTCCTCAAAGACCATTTCTACTGTCGTCTAAGAAAGTCACTGATGGTAAGGATGGATCCACCTCAGTTTTCAGTCAGTGTCCTTGGGGGTGGTATTGAGTTTCAGAGGGGCTGAAGTTTTGTTCCCTATCGTCACCAATGTTGGCCTAATGGTCAGATTAACTTGAGCTTTTGGCATTGTTCAAGAGTCTGATTGCCTGAGGGAAAAAATCTTTTCTGTGGTGCGTGACTTTATGCTCCTGTAGCGTCTTCCTGAGGGGAGCGGTGTGAACACGATGTGCTGGGGGTGTGTATTGTCTTTGATGATGTTGTGGGCCCTCTTGATTACCCTACTGTTATAGATATCCTGCAGAGAGGGGAAGGTTGTTCCAGAAATGTACTGTGCAGTTTTAATTACACATTGGAGAGCTTTCCTCTCCTGCACAGAACAGTTACCATACCATACGGTGACAGAACTGGTGATGACACTCTCTACTGTACCCCTGTAGAAATTGGTTTGGATTTTGGTTGCCATACCAAATTTCCTCAGCTTCTTCAGGAAGTATAGTATTTTGTGCATCTGGTTGATGAGTTGTTGTGTGTTATGAGTCCAAGTCAGATCCTCACTGATGTAAGTTCCAAGGAATTTGAAGATTTCCACTCTCTCCACTTCGGCCTCACAGATATGAATAGGAGTGTGATGCAAATTCTTTTTCCTTAAGTCGATGATCATCTCCTTGGTTTTATCTGTGTTCAAGAGTCTGATTCAGGTAGTTTTTCTGACACCAGTCCACAAGTCCAGCCACCTTTGTCCTATATTCTGTCTCTGCTCCCCCCCTCCTCCCCCCCGGTGATCAGCCCTATGACTGTGGTATCATCAGCAAATACTCGTGTTGTTCTGTGAGGCCACGCAGTCATGGATGCTCAGGGTGTAAAGCAACAGACTCAGCACACAGCTTTGGGGGCAACCTGTGCTGATTGTTCTTGATGCCTGATGTCTGTTTACCAATTCTCACTGACTGGGGTCTGTCTGTGAGGAAATTCAGCACCCAGCTGCAGAGGGAGGATGTCAGTCCTAGTGAGACCAGCTTGTTGCACAGTTTCTGTGGGATAACTGTACTGAATGCTGAGCTATGATCAATAAACAGCATCCTCAGATATGTGTCTCTTCCCTCCAGGTGAGTGACGACCTTTTGAATAGCAGCTTTGACTGCGTCATCAGTGGACCGATTCTGGCGATTCCCTCGGAAGGTAAAAAGGTCTGCATTTCACCATCAACAGCTCAATGTCAGTGGAACAGAGTCTTTCAACTACCTGTACATCCACATACCATCTCTTGTTCACTTAAGCACCGAGTGAGTTCTTGCTGTGTGCTGATTGGTCAGTCTCCTATAATCATGCACGTGTCACTAATGTTAATGTGAAACAGCTGGATGGGTCTTTTAAAAACAAACCAGTCCAAGCACAAGATGAACTGAATTAATTAGCCAAACCCAGGAGTCTTTCAGTTGTACAGTAGTTTGTAAAACCTGCAGTAACTCATAGTTTCGTTACTCACATGGTTTCTCTGGTTACCCTATATACAGCCGTGGAAAAAATTAAGAGACTACAGCACAATTTTTCCTTTCAGTCATTTCTCAATTTATGGGTGTGCGTCTGTGAATAATATATTTTTTTGCAAACTGCAGCCTGGTTCTTCTCTGTTTCACGTTAATGAAGGCCTTCTTCCTTGCTCTATGGGACTTCAGTCCTGCTTCTAGGAGCCTGATTTTATCAGTCCTAGCAGTGCACTTCACACCTGCACTTAATGTTCCTCATTCCTTGAAAGTCACTTGAAGGTCACTTGACCACTATTCATGAGAAACTGTCGGATAAGTTGATAGTCATTTCTGGCATTATAAAATCTCTTCCGCCCTTTACCTGACTGGTTTCCGGTCATTTCCAGTGTCTCCAGCTTCACCTTATTCTTGTGTACTGCTTAGAAAGTGTGTCTTAGAAATTTTTAACCTGGATGTTAGCGTAGATATGATCGTAGCCTTCTGCCAGCAGAACCACGATTAAACCAGGATTTAAAAATGCAGGTTTGTTTAAAAATATAGAGTGGTCTCTTAATTTTTTCCAGGCCTGTATAAATAAGATCACTATTTTTAAGAATCGTGGAAACTGTGTTGACGGAGATAAACACATGCTGGTTAGATGTTTACTTAGCACCTATTGTCAAACTACACCTACTACTATTAGTTTTTAAAATCCAAAGTCATTAAGGTTGAAAAACTTTCAATAAATCTGATAGTAAAGTTCAACAATACAATCTTGCTCCAGTCCGAAATAAATAGTGTCTGTTGTCAAATGTAATGCTTCATTGAAATATGGGTTGGGTTGTGTGCATGTGTGCTTAGCCAAAGAAGCAGGCAGTGGAAGTTCAGCGTCATATCTTCACCTGTGTTTTTTTTGCAGTTATGTCAGCCTGTCGTGTTTTTTGGAAGCAGACCTCATTGCTATGGCTGTGTGGGAAAGGGATTAAAACATTTTAACAATAAGTGGATCTTATTAACTTCATCGTCGTGACAATAATGGCTTCAGGTGACAAAGCTAAAAGGGCAGCTATGTTTGGTTTGTTGTCTGCGCTTTCACAGAAGGAATTCCTTTTTACTCGTTATTAAAAACACATTCATTTTGAACTCTCCCATTCTTCCCTGGGGCGTGTGCCTGAGGAATTATCATGTTGGCAAGAGAAATATCACGGTATGCTGAATGGTACAGTTAGTGACTGTTCATGACAGTTTTAACCTATGGGGATTATAGAGTGTACAGATGACATCTGAAAATAACATGCACCACCCACAGTTCCTGCCCCACAGTGACCCTGCTGATGTATTCAGATTTCATACAACAAGTTTGAATCTGTTTCTCATATTACCATCCCAATGTCTATGAAAAGCCATAGTTTGACTTACTTGGCATTAGCCATAATATGCTCTATATAACAATGGTAATGTACATGTTTGTATCAGGGTAAACGAGAGACAAGACTTAGACCCTCACGACTAGCTGGATATTCTTTGCTGATTTCACAATGATTTATTTATTACAGCATGGTAAAAAAAAAAAAGTATTTTTGTGGTAACTTACAATAGACATATCTCCTGAGCAAAAAAAAATAATCCTTATTTGGATCAGAAGAGTGACAGGAGTATTATGTGTACAGGCACTGTGCAATACACGTAGGTGAATAAAGAAAACTGAGCTTTTGTACATCTTCTCAAGCAAGTGCAGGCCTACATGTAACCAGTGAGGACAACGGCGCCATCATGTGGCTATCTAACACAAGGAAAATTACTTCATTTAAAAACTACAACGTAATGGTGACGTTAATTCCGCTTCCTTTTGGACAAACGGCATGATGGGATTGTGAAGGAGTTTGGGAGTTTGAATGTTATGGCTGACATGTAGTTAGGTCTCCCTGAATCTACATTTTTGGTAAATCGACTGCTTTAGTGTTTGCCCGTAAAAGGTAATCATTGTTATTATTTAGGACCAGACTATGAACACACGTTTATATAAGTTTTGATTAATTCTTTTTGTGAAACCGCGCAGTTTTATGTGTTTATATACGAAAATAAAGATTGATTGGTAGCTAGCGAAAGCTAAGTAGCTGGCTAGGTAGCCAGCGAGAGATTAATACGTTGCTCAGTATCTAGAGTACCTAACTGCTGTTATTATTTATATAGATAAACCATTCTTATGCTAAAACATTTAAAATCTTACACATCTCCATTAGTTGTTGACCTTATTTCTAATATTTAAGAACGAAACTTGGTAGCCAGCAAACCGGCTGACGTTAGCTAATCGCCATCTGGTCAGACCAGATAGTTAAATCCAGACCTGCCTACCTATGCTTTCCAGGTGTTACATGCTTTCGAGGACTTTCGGATATAACTTCTTAAAACTCATGAGGCAAAACGCAATTATGTAGCTAACGGAGGAAACGCGTATTTCTAACAGTGACCAAAAACTAATGAATGTGGGGTGGCTTTAGCCTCGGCTGCTAGGCCTCCGGTTGTGTGGCATAATTTTTGGGTGAAATGAAATATATATTTTAATAAATGTGACTGTCAAGTAAAATTAGTTTGACCCTAATTTTGAGTTTTTAGAAAGCTGTTTAAGCATGCAAGGTTTCATTCCATTCGTATAATTGGGAGCATTACGAATCGGGTAAATCTTATGTTGTTGCGCAAGAATGTATTTTGAATCCTTTCGATTTTCAGGTTATGTATTCTGAGTGCTTTAATAGCGCACACATGCCCTACCAATTGGTAAATTTACTTGTGTTTATAGTCTATACATGTGCTTATATTTAGTTTATTTTTGCATACAGTGCTTGTAATGTACCTTTTGTTTAAATATTTAAAAAGTTGTCATTGTTGAGCAGTGATAAAGGTCTTTTTCCACCTTCTGAATTCTGCTCAACTATCTGAGGTTGTGGTATCTTGATGCAAATGACTATGCATGCCGTTTAACTGTATAGAGACCTGGACAGTCTGGAATAAGACTGTGCAAAGAATTACATTTGGTCTTTGCATTAACTTGGTGCTTTTCTCAACCCCCCCCAGCAGCAACCGTGCCCCGTCGCGCCCCCACCCCCAGCGGAGCGGTCATGTGGCAGGAAGCTCGTAAACACGAGCGCAAGCTGCGCGGCATGATGGTGGACTACAAACGCCGCGGCGAGCGCCGGCGCGAGTACTACGAGAAGATTGTAAGTGCTGCTGTTGCCAGTTTTTCACCTGTG